TTCGGCTTGAGGGACGTATTTCTTCACTTCGATTTGGGTTGGACGAATTTCCACCCTCAGGCTTGGCCTGGTTTCAACTTCTTCTAGACGCAACTGCACGTAACTTCTTCTTCTTCCGTCCTGCAACTCTTCTCGCCAAGGTCCGAACTCTTCTCTCTGCCGTCTGAGGTGATCTCTTCTCTCTGCCTTCCGGGGCTGAACTCTTCTGCTTGTTTGGCCTGCAACCTTTCTGCCTGTCTGGCCCGCAATTCTTCTGCTTGTCTGGCCTGCAGCTCTTCTGCCTATCTGGCCTACAGCTCTTCTGCTTCTCTGGCCTGCAGCTCTTCTGCTTGTCTGGCCTGCAGCTCTTCTGCCTATCTGGCCTGCAATTCTTCGGCCTGTCTGGCCTGCAATTCTGCTCCAACTTCTCTGCGGCTTTCGAGCAATTTTCTTCTCTTCGACTTGGCTGCAACTTCTCTGCCTGTCCGGGCCAAACGGACCGGCCCCTCTTGCCCGCAAGGGGCGAATGAGCAGGGCCCGCCGTCCGCTCTCCAACTGCTCTGGCCGTCTACCCCGCAACTCTCTGTTTTCTGTCGGTTTGGGGTTCTGCTTTTATTGACGCCGCAACAAACTGGGGTGGGTCTGTCGGCGTCAGGGTTCCTTGATAATTCCAAAAGTCGCATTAGTTCTGATTTCCATTATCGCTCTTATTTTCACCCCTACTTCCTCACAGTGCCTCTGGGGGAGGCGCATACCCATCTCCCCGGTCTCTCGTATGTCAGGTGACCGTTTTCGACCAATGGGTCCTGGTCGAGCGTCCTTTCTCCTCTTTCTCGCATATCACGTGACCGCTTTCGGCTAATGAGATTCTGGTTGGGCGTCTCCGTCCTTCGTGACGTCTCCAATCGGGCGTGGTCTATCCCGGCTTTGTTCTGGGAAAGAACCACCTTGCTAAAAAAAACAAAATCCAATTTGGCTTTTTTCGCACGTACGAAATTGACAATCTCGGCCTATCTCACCTTTTGGTTTTTGTCAAAACAGCCCGCCGCTAATTAGATGTGACTTCAGGAAGAACTTTTCTCGTCTCGCTGGCGCTTTCTGTGAGCCAAAACAATTGTTTACATTCCTTTATTTTCGTTCAGGCCTGACAGTGAAAATCTTAATTATCTGAATTTGAAATTATCTTCACTTCATCATCGTGGGGGTTCTAATCTTCAACAGGTCAGGATCTGTATACAATTCCAGCGGTCACCTTCTCATTCCAAAGACACCTTTTTTTTTTATTTATTAATATTTCGTTTTCCATTGTTCTAAAAATCCCATTTCTCCAAACTGATAATGAGCTTCTACATTCCGCGGACACAAAAGTAGGCCAGATGTTTTGACCGATATTTTTATCAATCGCCCATGTCTGTTTTCTTTCTTTCTTTTCTTTCAAATAACAATTTCTATTGTTCGTGAAATTCGGTCAGGCGCGTTGGCCTAGATATCTCTTGACACCTGTTTTTGCTCATGACCGTATTATCTATTTCTCCTCCTCTCCTTTTCTTTTCGTCTTCTTCACTTAGGATCGCCTAAATACAATTAGAGAAATATTCTCAAAACTTAATTACTCTTCGTCTAAATAACTAACAACTGGTTAATAAACCGAATAAAAATTAAATCATATTTCTAGGAATATTTCTTTTTAGTTTTTTTTCTAATAATGCAGGGTGCCACAATTCAACTACAAAAAATTAAATGCAATGCCAATAGTTATCTTGTTAAACCCTGTTCTTTCATTGTTCTCTCTCCTGTTTTATGTTTCTCATATTTACCAAACAGTCAGGGGTTACAACAGTCAGGGCTAGTAATCTACAAGGAAATTAGATCAGCACTCTATAAATTTCATTTTGGAATAACTTCTACATAGAAAAACGTATCATAACATATACAGTGTAACCCGGATATAAGAGACCCGGCTATAAGAGAAACCCGGATATAAGAGAGATTTTCTATGGTCCCAAATTAGAGCCCATACTTACCTAAACAAAATAGACCAAACCCAGATATAAGAGAAACCCGGATATAAGAGACTTATTTTCCGGTCCCGACAACTTTCTTATATCCGGGTTACACTATATATATATATATCTGCAGAGGAGTAACAACCCGAAATAATGTGGCGTTCTGGGTATGACGATAAACTACATCCGGCAGTGAGGCCTCTTATCAGGAGGGTTTGAGAAGCGTGGAATCACCGCTTAATTACTGGTATTCCCAGAACAGCTGCAGGATAATGTATAACCCGGAGAGATACTGCATATTTTTAATAGCTAGTGTTCGACATTTGTACATAAAGCATTTATCATTAAATCTTTACATCCTATTTTAAAATAATTCCTGCAATCTTACTTATTATAAAACGCAGATTGTGCGTGTGTGTGTGTCTGTACGTTT